CAGTTTGAAAATATGGAACATGTAAGTTTTTTTACATTGTTTTGTTTCTGTTTCTGTTTTGCCTTATGCTTCTCCATTTTAAAACCTAATTATTTGTATGCTTTTAGCTGAAAGTCACATGCATACTTCCTCCTATTCCTCATGATCCAGAAGTTGATGTTTGTATGGAAGATGAAGCCAATAAAGATCTGGATGACATGGCCGATTTAGCCAAAAGAGGTTATAAATTTAAAATTAGTGATTGAAAATGGATGGATGGGCCAAGCTTCTTATTCCTATCAGGGGGAGTCTTTGAAATCAAAGATCAACAGAGTCAACGATATGGTGTTAGATACAGGATCCTAAACGCTTGTTTGTGTTTGGTTGAAAAAGACAGCAAAGAGATTAAAGTTCGCGTGAAGAACTAGAGAAACTACAAGGAGTTACTTCATATGAGATCCAAACAATGAGGGAACTTTTGTTTTGGAATTTAAAGTTGAATGTTTATCTCGTCCTTGTTTTAGTTTTTTTTTGTAATTTAGGAAAATGTTATACATATTTAGGATTGACTTCGTGATTTTTGTTGTACTTGCACATACGGACACAACTTTACTAAACTTTCATATTTAAAATATATTATATATATTGTTAATGTCATTTAAATTTAATTGTATAATATTATGGATAATATTGATTGCATGATTTATTTACCATAAATGACTGTTAATAAATAAGAATAGTCGTTTGAATTAAATGCACACAACAAATCCCCTATATATTAATTGAGGATCATTTTAAAAGTTATAACCTTAAGTTTGTACTAATTAAAAAAATCATATCATATGTGGCAGTTCTTTATAAAAGTCTATTTAGAAGAATTACGAAGTCTGTTGGTCTCATATAAAACATATCAAACTAAATAACATATCAAACTAAATCTCATATATATTCATTCCTTAAATAAAACTTACGGAATTACCTAATGTGATTAAGATATATATGACTATTAATGATTTTAAATAATATATATTTGTTATAAATATGTATATATTTATATCATTTTTGTTTAATTTTTTATTATTAAAATAAGTTACACAACTACACTAATCATATAATAAAAATTTAGATTTTTTTTATATGTTGTATTTTGAAATTTTCAAAACGACTATAAATTACTAAAACTGTTAAAAATCTCACATAAACTTTTGTGATCAAGGTCTAAAATTTTTTTTTCTGTAATAAATTACAATGATTATAAAATCCGATAAATAAATAATTTTATTTTAATAGGTATTATGTTTTAATATATATATATATATATCTCATATCGTAATAACTAATTTTATTTTAAACATAATTATAATTTTAAATTTAACTTATTTTTTATAAAAATTAGTTTTTATTTAAAAATTAATTTTTAAAAATATTATTTTCTGATATTATTAGACAAATAAAGAAATATATTAAATTCGTTTTCGAAATTTATATATTTTAATTGCAAATATTCTACCAACTGCTTTTTAAGAAAGCATTAGGGAACTTAATAATGTTCTACCAATTAAGCCATGTGACACTCTATTTATTTTCCATCTCTCGAACACTGAAAAGTGAAAATATATATGAACCGGACCAATTAAATTATAACTTTTGATCTACAATTCTAATTATAATTGTTTATGATCCTACGTATAGATAATTATATAAAAATTTCAAAATTTCAAAATTTCAAATACATAGAAAAACAATCATATGTAAATTTTAAATTTTTGAATACTAAAATCTTATATTTTAATTACATACATTCACCATGCGCAAGACGCATGTCTTATCCTAGTGTATAGTTATAAGACAAACAAAATCATCAATATCCCAAAGTTTCTTCAAATGATCTGAACTTATAGATATATTTGATTAGAATCCTAACTTAATTAATTATTATTGTATTATAATTAATATCAAATCAAATAAATAACGAGAATTTGGCTAAAAAGCACGAACTTTGCACGAATTGCCAAATAAAACCTGAAATCGAAGCTGACCAAAAACATACAGTACTTTCTTTATTTTTAATTTTATTTGAGAACTTATCATTGACTCGCCATTTTAGCACACCGTAATCTTACAGTGTAGACGCCATTAAGTGAAACGACGTCGTTTTCTGTGCTTTTAAAATGAAAAACATGTCTAACGACACTTCTGATGAAATCTCTAACATATTTTCTTTTATTGAGTATCCAAAAAAAAATTTCAAAGCTTAAAATTTTACAAAATTCAAAAAATCAAGAAAAATTCTGAAAATATTAAAATAAAAATTAAATTACAAATAAAATTTATTTTTTTCGCTAAAATTAATTACAAAAATTCATAAAATCTAAAAAATACAAAAATACGAAAAAACCTAAAGATTAAAAAGATGACAAAAAATGAGTAAAATAATTTAAAATATTTTTTATAAAAATTAATGTATCTAAGATCATTTCTGTATTTTATCTTAAATACATTAATCATACGAAAAATATAGTGTGATAAATATAATTTTGTATATTATCTTACATGCACTCATTTATATTAGAGTTTTCAAATTATTGCAATCAATAATTTTTTTTTTTGCATTTGAATTTTTTAGATTTTTTATTTTTAAAATTTGTGGACGTTTTTTATATAAATTAATATATTTGAGATAAAATAAATACATTAATTTATAGAAAAATAAGTTTCAAAATTTTAATCATTAAATTCAATTCGTTGCTTTTCTTTGAATTATTTTAGATCGCTTGAGCTTGTTTGAGAATTGCTTTTAAGAAGGTCTTGTATGAACCTTTAAAATGATTTATCTAATCGTATTTTCTTGAGAAGAATAACCATGTCTTACTGTGTGTTCTAGTTTCTATACTGCACTACACTTACACTTACAATTAGTATCGGAGCAGGTACTTGTGTCTTTTTTAAACAGTTTAAAAAAAAAAACTAATCAACGAAACAGAATCAACTGGAAGAAAATAGGGCTACAAAGAAAAATATTTTTTAGAAACAAAATATTTTTAATTTCAAGTTTAATTTTACCTTTTCGGAATTTTTAAGATTTTTTTCGAATTCTTAAAAATGAATTTAGATTTTTCAAGATTGTTTTGATACTCAATAAAATAAATCATGTTCGAGATTTCATTAAAAGTGCCACTAGCACAATGGCAAGAAAACTCGTAATTTGGCCATAAGTTTTCAAGTTTGAGTCAAGCGATCAACATGTATTTAATAATAAAAATAGGTAAAATGATGTCGTTTCATCCCATCTCAAAACGATGTTGTTTTTAATGATTTTAGCAAACGTCGTTCAATCACTCTGTCAAGTTTAATTATTTAGGGCATTTTCTGGACGGATTTGTTTCGGATTCGGGTTGGGCCGGGTAATTTTACCCACCACAACATCCTTAGGTGTGAAGTATCTTGGCTCTTCTAAACCTAGCATGACCCACACCACTGCTGCTTAACAGATTCCTCACTCTCTTTAACCTAAACACAACTTCTCTAGTTTCAGACGAGGTTAGGAATCTGAAAAGTTCAGTAGGTATTCAAGTTTCCGTTTTTACACAATCCCATCAAACACAAGACCTCAAGAAAATAATTTG